TATGCAGAGTACATACAGAGACTGAGGCTTGTGTATTCACAGGTCGAAGTTTACAAGTTGGTGCGACGCAAAAGTAACCACTCCTAGACACAAATGCACCTCTTTCACACCCTGTGTACATTCCCCTTCAGTCAGTTGGCTGTTTTTGACAGGCAAATTTTGTTCACATTTGGTCTGACTGCTGCCTTAGCTAAAAAAAAAAAAAAAAACAATAGCAATAATAAGGAGCCAAAAGTTGTTAAACTATAGATGTTGGAGAGCTCTGAGAGAGTCGTGCTTGGATACTAGTCTCTAGACACTGACAGAGGATTTTATGACCATAGTATTAATACAGTGAGCATTAATAGATGACCTTGAAGGATCATTTGGATTGGGACCTCATCATTCAATGAAATAATGTGATGTCTAGTACTGTAGTCTCTACATGTCTTTTTTTTTTTTTTTTTTTTTAAATGTATTCTATGTTCCCGACAGATGAACAGCGAAGTCAGACTGATGGAGTTCCTGTTCCTCTTAAACAGCCAAACTTCAACCAGGAGCCACAAAACTGTGATCCCTCACAAATCCGAGTGAAGCTGGAACCTTTGACCGGACATGAGAAGGCTGAGTCACAAGAGCAATCAAATAACGCGTCTTCATTCAGTTCCTCCCCTGTAAGGACTGCCAGTAGACAGGGGCAGGCTCACTCTTTCTCTGTTAAAACGGTGGATGTTCTGGCAAAAAAGGGTCATGGGTCCACCACAGCCTCAACCATAGCAGTCTCAAGCAAACCAGAAATGTGGAACTGTACAGGATTCTCCTCTGATATTTCAAGCACACCTGGGAAAAGTGAAATTCAGTTTGAGACTTCTATAAAAGACGAGCCCGTTTCCCACCCCACTTCTCAATACGAGAAACCGTCAAATGACATTTCACGTCTAAAATCTCGCTTGCAGAGTCACGTTCCTTACAGGCCGCTTTACTGTGACGTGTGCAGAAAGACTTTCCAAAACGAATGGCAATTGAAAAGGCATTTGCTAAAGCACCAGAACAATAGACCGAACTGCTGCGAGTTGTGTGGGAAGTGCTACAGTACGCCACACGTACTCAAAATCCACCTTCGAACTCACACAGGAGAGAGACCGTATCACTGCAAGTTCTGTGAAAAGACGTTCAGTCAGATAGGTCACTTGAAGGGGCATGAAAGGATTCACACTGGAGAAAAAATTTACAGCTGCTCAGTATGTGGGAAATGTTTCACTTGGCTGAGTCAAGCCAAAGAGCACATTCGGAGCCATCCCGGTCAGCTGGCTAGAGTTCAAAGAAAAATCAATCAGTGATTAGTAAAAGAAAAAAAAAAAACAGGCTACCTGTTGCTGATGCGTCATTTGGATTTTTCTGACTTCGCTTAGTTTTGAATGGAAACAGAAAAGATTTTGAGTGTGAAAACTGATTAAAAGTCCTGTAGCTCAAAAGAGATTTAAATTAAAATCTTAATGAAGAGAATACCTCTGCTCCTGTATCTCAGCTTCCAGTGGTTTAGTTGTTATAACTATAAGGACTAAAACACAACAGGGCATGCTGTTATAGGAAAATAATCAATAGCAGGGTGGTGTGCTGGAGCAGAGTTACCACCTGTTACCATCCCGAAGCTGATTATTTTCCCCATAACAACTCATCCTGAAGTGTTTTATTCCTCTTATACCACAGCGATTTAAAAAATGTAAAATATAATTTCTAATTTATTAGTTATCATGTCATTCTTTTTACCTGTTTATAGTTATATTTAGTATTGTGTAACATCTGCAAGACAAAATAATTCCTGTTATCATGACTTGCGTTATAGCAGCTATAAACAGCCGTTCCCTCACCAGGTTATAAGACATAAAAAAAAAAAAGCAGAAAGAGTAAAGTGTTAACACTTTATGGATTATTGTTGCATCTGATTCAGCTATGCTGTTTTGGAAACAAGGACACAGGATGCTTCCTAAATATTCCAGTTGATGTATAATTGACTCATCAATGCTACGTTCTTCAGCCTGTGACCTGGAAATCAAATAATGTCCACCATCTTTAAGGTTGTATCACTTCGTTAAAAGCATTCAGAAGAATCAAGAAGTGAAGAGAGATGGGACTTTCTGGGTCAGAATAAATAGGTGCTTCGAATGAGGATTTTTTTTGTTTGTTTGTTTTAATTTATTTATTAGACCATCATGTAAACCTAATGTTTAACTTTTCCACTTCCTCCAAAGAATAAAGTCCTACCAGTGATGTGATGATAATGACCAATATTAATAATAATAATTAAATCAGAAACAGTAGGTACAAAAAAGTCAGGTGATAAGTAGAATCTTGTATTCCCTAAAACTAAGTCACTCTTTATGCATGTGATGTACACATGCAAAAATATTTTGATTGTGTTAATCAAGTGTGTAATAAGACTCTTATATATATGTTATGCTCTGTGTCAGTTGATACACCTGCAGAAGTCATTGATGAGTGAGAAATCGATGCGTCTCATTTAGCACATTTTTGCCAGTGATTCCTCCTGTCCTTGTTTCCTGTCTTCACATCATGCAGTTAAGCTGGAAAGCATATTTAAAGAAAGGAGAAGCATGCACAATGCCACGGATGCAAAGCACCACTGTTACTTACTTATCTCCTACTTGTTGAAAATATTCAGCTTAATATATTTTTGAGGGAGAAAGCCGGGGTGATGGATCTGCTGTCAAATGTCCGACTGTGAAAGGACAGAGCTGTGCAGCTCTTTACAGAGGAGAGAGAACCTGACTGGAGCACTGATAACCTGAAATTAAGCTGATTGACTCTACAGCCACAAATATTCTACTTTTCACGATGTTGGTGAAATGCGTCGGATGTTATGAAGTGCTTTTTTCAGCATTAACACAGTTGAACCAGCTGTTTTTGTAAAAGGGTCAGTGTTTTGAATTGACACCAAGAGTCCAGTTCAATTTCTTATAGCGATTGTTGTCATTGTCTTATTTGAGTGTTAATTGACAACACTAAACTTATGATCATATGAACACCTTTTATCAGAATATAATATTAAATGAATATAATGCCAAAATATGACTTTAAAATGCATAATCTTTTATTCATTAAAAAGATGATAATAAAGTTTATTTTCATTATTAGTATATTGGCTATTTGCCTTTTTTTGCTTGCATAGTTAAGTCTGATATTAAATACTGATGGATCATATTTTAATATTTGTGGTAATAACAAGTGTTTTGTTATCAGACAGGAAGTGCATATCTAACATCATGCCGGAATCAGCAAGTGTGAAAACACAGCTAGATGTTTCCTCTAGTATATGAATGGGTCTCCTGCTCTCTTAAGATAGGTATCACTTGAGCATCTCTTCACTTCTACTGTACAGTGACAGCAGTGGCACTTTGAACCGTTTCTGTAGGTCCAGAAGGTTTGCTGAATTGTGAAACTGTGTTGATGGCTTCATCAGATAAAGGGATAGTTGGCTGAAACCCATCATGGAGGACAGACAAAAGGCCAAGTTAAACAGGGCAATGCCACGGATGTCAAAATGAACTGACGTACTATTAACAGCCTATGAACGTTATTTTATTTCTTTTTCTAATAAAGGTATGTAATCAATGTCTCCTTTTGTGGAAACACATCCCTCCTGCTAGGTCCTGTGTATTAGTGTGAGTGAGAGACTAAAATAAAATATGACAAAGCACAAGGAATCATAAGATATGGGGAGAAAATGCTACTAAAATAAATGTTTTAAAAATATTTAACATGTAAATTAAAGTAAAATGTTCACTCTTTCACGTCTACAGAAGAGCAAGAAAATTCCCCTCAGCATCTTATTGCAAGAAAAGCATCACAATACAAGAAATCATCTAGTTATTATGAGAGAAGTATCTCTACTACAAGAAAACATCTCTTTATTATGCAAAAGGCATCTTGTTATTATAAGATAAATGGTATAAAAACAACATAATTGATCTTGTTTTTCCAATACAGCCTACAAGGTTCTGATAAATGGCACAGTTGACAGAATTTGTGAAATTTTACTTCATGCCTGGCTTAAATTACAATGAGATTTTAATGTCAATGAGCAGTGTAGAAAGTATTAGCATAGTATATATGTATTACAAAGGATTCTCAAATCCCAGTGTTTATATGTTTATATTAACTTCATGAATAAAGTACCTGGCAATTATCTTTGGCTTGATGTTAGCGAGAATCCAAGTGATCACTGGTGAAAAGCCATGATGGATGACACCGTTAATGCAGATACCATATACACTATAGGCCAAAAGTATGTGGACACCTGACGATCACATCCATATGTGCTTTTTGGGCATCCCATTTCAGATTTTGTCCCTGTTTGCTGTTATAATAACCTCCACTCTTCTGGGAAGGCTTTCCACTAGATTTTGGAACAGGGCTGTGGGGATTTGTTCTCATTCAGCCACAAGCGCCTTAGTGAGATCAGGCACTGATGTTGGGTGAGAAAGTCGGGGTGCAGTCAGAGTTCCAGTTCATCCCAAAGGTGTTCAGTGGGGTTGAGGTCAGGGCTCTGTGCAGGACACTCAAGTTCTACTCCAAGCTTGCCAAGCCATGTCTTCACAGGCCTCACTTTGTGCACAGGGGCATTGCCATGCTGGAACATGTTTGAGCCTCTTAGTTTCAGTGAAGTGAAACTGTAATGCTAAAGCATACAAAGACGTCTTATACAGTTGTGTGCTTCCAACTTTGTGGCTACAGTTTGGGGAAGGCCTACAGTACATAAGGGTGTTATGGTCAGATATCCACAAACCTTTGGCCATATAGTGTAGTTTTAATGTATCATAAAATTCGAGATGCTTGTACTGCTTGCCCCGAAGGTGATTCTTGTGTCTTAGCTCAACTCCACGAGAAGCAAAAAAAAAATAAAAGCCTGCCACTGTTTTGAGTAACAACATTTAATATGCTGTTATTTACAACCATGAAGCTTTTGGTGTTTTTCTCTTGATAATGAGATGTTATCTGGGTCCCTGGAGGACTAGTGGTTAGGCCACAGAGCTCTCACCTCTACAGCCCAGGTTCGATTCCTGGCCATGGAACTCAGCCCAGCCACTGGGGTGGTCCCAAGCCCGGGTAAAATTGGGGAGGGTTGCGTCAGGAAGGGCATCTGGTGTAAAAACCGTGCCAAATCAACTACACAGACCAATGAGCCTCTGTGGTGACCCCTAACAGGAGCAGCCAAAAGAGGAGTAACAACAACAATGAGATGTTATCTCATAATAACGAGAGCCAGTGTTTTTTGTTTTTTTTTTTACCTTGTGTGGAAGAAGTGTGCTTCCGTATTTGTCTCTTGAACCACTGACTAATTCGAGATGTGTCCGACTGTGAAAGGGAAGGACAGAGCTGTCCAGGTCTTAGAGGAGCGAGAACCTGACTGGAGCACTGATACCCTGAAGCTAAGCTGATTGACTCCACAGCCACAGTCATGTCTGAATGGTGAATTGTGCTGTGTTGCTTTTCCAGAATTAACACAGCTTTTGTAAAAGGGTCAATGTTTTGAATTGACACCAAGAGTCTTACAGGGATGGCTGTCATTGTCTTAAGTGAGTGTTGATGTTTTTGTGCTTCTGTACTTGTGTTTCCGGATCACCGGGTGGCAGTAATGTGTCAGCTACTACAGTGTTGTTGTTGTTGTTCTTCACAAGCGTTAAGCGAAGAAGAGTCTGTTCATTTGAGAGCTGTGGATTTGCCGCAAAAAAATGGCAAAGTTTGAGTATTTAAATACGTTTTTTACCGAGCGTCTGTTAGCCGTTGCGGGAGAATTATTTCAAGTAGTTACAGACATTATTAGTGAGTACCAGGAGGAAACAGACCGGACCAAACAGGAAAACACGTACCTGAAGAAAATGCTAACGGCTGAACGCTTGGCTAACGGACGAGGTGAGACGTCAAGATATGAGCTATGTCTCAATGCAGCACATATTGTGCATTCTGTGTAGTGCTCTAGATGGATTTAAGATTCAGTTTGTGTGAATTCTCATGTTAGTTTCTTTCTACACCATCAAACTAGTCCACTACAAGAGTACTGATTCAGAAGGAATTTTATTGGCACAAGGAATACATTTGTATTAACTGAAAAAACAACAATAGAAACCATGACAGAAATTCTAATGGTTTCCACTACAAATACCATTACAAACCATCAGCTAACCATTAAAACCATTACCATTATTGGTCCTTAATGGGGTCCACTATACATGGATCCCTGGAGGACTAGTGGTTAGGGCTAGGGTTCGACTGTCGTGTTGGGTTGCACACGACAGTGTATTCCCATAAAATTATGGAGGGTTGCGTCAGGAAGGGCATCCAGCGTAATAACTGTGCTAAATCAAATATGCGGACCAATGGTCCGCTGTGGTGATTCCTAACGGGAGCAACTGAAAGAAGAAGAACAACAACGCAGTCCCTGGAGGACTAGTGGGTAGGCCACGGTACTCTTACTGCCGCAGCCTGGGTTCGATTCCCAGCCAGGAAACCAACCCCAGCCACTGGGGTTGCACATGGCAGTGCGCTCCGAGTGCCAGTCCCAAACCTGGATAAAAATGGTGAGGGTTGCGTCAGGCATAAAAACTGTGCCAAATCAAATATGCGGACCAATGATCCGCTGTGGTGACCCCTAACGGGAGCAGCCGAAAGAAGAACAACAACAATAATGGTATCCACTAGACATAACATGCCACCAATAGAAGGCAACAAATTACCAGTAGAGACCCACAGGGACCATTACAGTAAAACCAATACTTTCCATTAAAACCAACTTACTTTCCATTAAAACCAATACAATTCCCATTATAACCATTAAAACCATTACAGATTGTATGAGAGTTTCTATTGATTTTTTCCAGCAGGGTTTTGGTTGATGCTCTTGTGGTGCTTCTAGACATCAGACTTCACAAAAGATAACAAACAAAAACATAGCCTAAAAAAAACTCCACAATGCTGTCATTGATATAGTCATGTTTGTGGGGCAGTTCAGTGTTTATAAGTTTGAAGCACCTACCATAGGAAAGGAGTTCAAATATATGGTGGCCTGGGTGCAAGGGGTCGGCGATGATATCTTCCGCTCGCTTCCTGGCTCTGGAGGAGAACAGATCTTTCAGAGAGGCCAGGTTTCTTCTTATGAGCTTTTCATCTGACCTGACAAACAATACATTGTAGTCTGTTCAGTTCATTACTGGTTGCACAGCCAAACCAGACTGTTATTGAGGTATTGAGTACAGACTGTGTGGAACTGGGCCAACAGCTCCTGTGGTAAATAAGCAGGACGTACATCCTCTGCTGGGCCTTCAAGTTTGCTTCCCACTCCAAGTCCTGAGAAACAGCAGTTCCCAAAAAAACAAACAACTCAAAGGTTTCCTAGGCTATCACAGTCTTGTCCAGTAAGGTGAGGGACAGTAAATGCTAGACAGCTTTTCAGTTCAATAGAACACAAATAACCTTTTATGTTTCTTTACTGAAACCTTGCTTAATTAACAAAATGAAAAAAATTGTATTCCATCTTAGATACTTTAATGCTCAAATTAGATTTGGGTGTCCTCTTAACAGATTCATGTTTATTCAGAGTTAACAGATGTGGCAGTAAAGCTGGGATAATTCAAGGTTTCAACTAGTTATTATTGAAAATGTGATCTCTTGGCACATGTCCATAAATTCCTATTATTATTATTATGATTTTTTTTTAACAGATGGTTCAACTAATCAAGCAGTCCCTCAGGAGCTACCAAACATCTCCCATGGACCCCTGGATTCAAATTCCTCAGTAATACAAGTAAAGGTGGAGCTGTCCACCACGAAGCAGGACATTGTGCCATCAGAACCAATAAGTGATCCTTCCACAGTGACTACACCACACCATTTCTCAGGAAAGACTACAAATGAGGAAATAAACAATGATTGTCTCCATAATAACTCAGAAGTCACAATAAAATCTGAGCCAAGGGACTCTCAGATCGTCATATCTGATGACTCAGACCCTGCCATGCAAAGTGAAAGTATAATTGACTATAATTTGGTAGGTTTAAGAGATGATCAAGGTCCTGATCCCTCTTCACATGACGCACTCCAAAGTGAGACAGCTGATAGAATTGTTTACTGCCAATATTGTGGAAAGCCTTTCGGAAACCGTGGCCAGCTGAAAAGGCATATGGTTGTGCATCAGAAAGACAGGCCAAGGCCGTATCGCTGCGATTTGTGTGGAAAGTGCTACTCCTATGCACAAGTGCTTGAGGTCCACCGTAGGACTCATACAGGGGAAAGGCCGTATCACTGTAAATTTTGCGGAAGGCGTTTTAATCAGAAAGGCCACTTAAAGGAACATGAAAGAATTCACACTGGTGAAAAACCTTTTGGCTGTCCAATTTGTGGGAAACGATTCATTCAGTCCAGCCAAGTCAGAAAACATGTCAATTACCATCATCCTACAGTGCAACTGTCATAAAAGCAATAAGGTAGCAGATGAAGGTCACTGCAAAAATATTTATTGTTAGGCCTCGAACATGCTAAGCGACAAGGCCTGTGATTGGAGCGTTCAAAATGCGATGCAAAAAGAAAAAACAAAACCTTAGAGAGTATACAAGCTTGCAGATGTGGTCTTGACTTCTCACAACCCTAGAGGACTTTGCTTTGCTGAAGGTATACCAGGGCATTTACACCTTCACTGAGTGACATAGTCTATTGAGTTAGTAGTGTGTCGACATAGTGGCATAGCAAATCAAGTGGTTAGTTCTCTATGTGACATCTTTTATTATTTATTTATTTTTTTATTTAATTACTTAGCCTTAAAATGATCTCCCACATATCCCATCCTTCTTGCATTTGGTATCTTCTTATGCAAAGAAATACAAGAATTCAGATTAGAGACAACAGCTTATATGAAAAGGAAATTTACATGAAAATTATTTGTCATTGTTATTATTACACTAATAGCCTGTCAAAATTGCTTTGAACAAGTTTACCTCTGTCATGTCCATTGTGCCTTTGCTCTTTGTATATAAAAGTAAATTAAAGGCTTTTTATTTGTTTTGAAGTTTTATCTTTGTTAATTTAAGATGATGCCAAATGTCTATTTAGTATACAGTTTTCATCTGTGGATAATTCTAATTGTTAGTGATAAGAGGCAGAATATAAAATGCAATGTTGCCAAAAGTGCCAGGGTGTTCTTGAATTTGTGGAAGATTTTCTAGTGAATGAAGAGAACATGGAGTATGTCAGTTCCTAAATAATAATACATGAAGAAAAAAAAATAAAATGAAGCGTTTGTCAGTCACTAAATAGTAACAGCATCTACTCCACATCAGTTAAAAACAACCACATGGCACGTTGGTACGCCTTGTAGGTGTAAAATTCGAGCTCTTATACCACAGCACTGTTGAATTCTCCAGTCTATTTGGTCAGAAAGTATTGATTCATTTTCTATAATATCAGTTCTGACAGTATTTCCTGCTGTAATTCAAATCTGTGATTTGAATAAATAATGAATTAAAGATTTATATTAATGCACTCATTACAATATATTGTTTCTAGTAACAACTCACTCACCAGGACTTGTACGGCAGACAGTCTACAAAATCTAATCGTAATGCTAAATGGATTTTTAAAAATGTGTTATGTAAGAACGAAAAACATTATCGTTGTTCTAGTGAAGGTGTTCTAGTGAACATTTATGGAAGGAGTCTCCAGTGCCAGCGTTTTGTAAGGATGATTTTTTTCACCATGTCAGCATCTTCAGGATGGATGGAGGACCTCTCCGGGTTCTCAGTAACATGACAAGCTGTGTTCTTATTAACTTAAAGGGAGAGAAAAAAGAGAGCTTAATGAGGGAAAGGCTTATAGCTATTAGAATGTAACAGGAACTAACTTGATTCCACAACATTAAATATAGCTATAAATGATTAAAAAGCATGATGTTGTTTTGCAAAAAGCTGTGATTTATAAGGAGAATAAAACACGTCTTGATATGTTGTTACTGGTGTTCGGGGGGAAACATCTTTGCAGTGGTGACATTAACTCTGCTTCACCTTGTTCTTCATCACACCACCCCATTTTGTACACATCGTGTACACGATATACTAATTCACGATATATCGTGTACACGAGTTCGGGCACTGGTAAGGACCTTGGCTCACTACACATTGGGACACTGATGACTCAATTTCCAAATGACTACTCGCATTGTAAAACGTCACCAATGGCATTTATCAACAACAGGCAGGACCGATATCTTTCTGACATTAATCACACGCGTTTCCGTCATGGTACTTCAAGCAGGATCGTAGGCTAGCTAGTGGATTTTTTAATATCATTAAACACTTAAAAGTTGTTAGACAAACAAATTGTATATAGAATGTCAAATAAAGTTAAAAAAATCGCAAACATAAGTAATCATTTGAGAGCTACAACAGCGATAACAAGCTACTACATTTGTAGACGAAGTTTGCTGGGAGTTTGTCCACCATTTTTTTATTCGAGCTGAGAGGCTTCAGAAAATATGACGTCATTTCCAGTAAGGGAACATAGTGAGCATCTATGCTCCCTGGTTTTTGCGGTGCATTGTGGGATTTTTTAGGGAGTGAAAGTTCCAGTGAAGGATTTTTGAAACAGGTCTTAAAAATAGCCGACTCCTTGATCAGTGCCCTGGCTACTGAACTGGGGAGCTGATTGAGACGCACCCTTAAAGAAATCAAAGGGAAAAGCCATCCCATATTAAGCTCCTTTATCTATTTGTTTCATTCTTGCTAATTTTCTGACCAATGATTTGTTCTTAAGACCATTAAAAGCTTAATATTTTGCCATTTGGGGCTTGGCCCAGGAGTGTATACCTACAATGCAACCTACAGTACATGGTAGGTCACTTTTCAGGCGTTGGATGCTTTTTAATAGACCTGGCAACCCTGATGGCAACCCTTGCCCTGAAAATACACAGTAAGCTTTCAAAGTGACAAGAATGGAGAGCTTGAATTCTTTTTTCATCGAGAGGCTGATGTCGGTGGCTGGAGAGATATTTTTAGCAGTTAAAGACATTGTTTCTGAATATCAGGAGGAGATAAAGAGGACCAAACAAGAGAACCGCCGTCTGAGGCAAAAACTGACTGAACTGAACATTAGCATTAGCTGTGAGAAGCAAATGCCAGGTAGTGTGTCTTTTATTTACATGTGTAAGTGTTTATATAAGGGTAATGTGTAATAATTTTTGTGCACGGTTTGTGTGTAAACCTTAAAAATGCCTTATGATTCAATGAAATACTTTGTAAAAGTGGTTTTCAATCTTTTTTTTTATTATTATTTTAGCTCTCGTTAGCTACATGAGTTGAAGGCTAGGTGTAAGCTTCATTAACGGTGGTATGTAGATTATGAATAATGTGAAAACTGCAAAGTATTTCAATTAAAATGTAAGAATAAGAGCAAATAAAAAGTCAAAACTTACCCTCCGTTTTGTCTGAAGTGTATAACTTGTAGCTAACGTCAAGGAGCTACCTG